AAAAAAAAAAAAAAAGTTTTATAAAAAAAAAAATAAATAAAAGATGACAGAGCACAGATATTTCAACAGGTTAAAAATTACTTTTTTTTAATTAACGATACCCAATGAAGTGGCAAGTGGGTCCAATCCTCGTCTGACCCCACTCGAGCCTGAGCGACTGACTATTTTTATCTGCTGTCGTGACAAATCACCTCTCCAGCTTCGAGCGCTCACTGTAGTGTTTAAAAAAAATACACGTTATCAGGGATTCGTCAGAGGAGAACGCTTTAGCCTTGCCTTCGCTCAAAGGACACTAACGCAGCGGACACTTGCGAGTGACTGTGCGCACAAGAAATACATAGTAAATAAGGAACAAAATAACTCCTGACAGGTGATCGTGGGAAGAAGTTAAATTAGAATGTGAAAGAAAGACTTAACAAATGTAAACATTTAAATCTTGGTAGAACCTTTCTTCACTTTGCTGTGCAAGAGAACACTGCTTTGCTATATTTAAAATGGCTTTTTTAAAAGAGATTTATGTATTTGGTAAATGTTTGTAGTCAACAGTTCACAAAGAAGCTGTTCACGGTTTAATGATGATAAGCCGTTTGGCGGCACAAGCTGGACTTTGTTGCCGTCCTTGAGACGAATCTTTTAAGAAAAAAAAAAATAAGTTAATCTCAATTTTTTTTTTTTTCCCTGAATGTGTTGTTTTTTTTCTTCAATATACAATAAATATTCTAGTGAACTTTTTATCAAATGGTTAAGAAAATGCTAGAGGTTGTTGTAAAATATTTGTATCCTGCATTCACTAAAGTAAAGATACTGGCTTTTACTGTGTACCCCCGCCTGGCTCGTGTTTGCAGCGCGGCCCCCGCTCTGCGCAGCTGAACGCCCCTCCCCAAGTACCGGTTCTGAACCACAGCAAGGATTCGTTTAAGCAATACAGATTTTGGGGGGGCAGGGGGAATACATACGCTCATCATTAAAGACAAATTGAGAACTGACGCTCTGTGAGAACCCTGTTGCACAATGCTTACGGAGACTTGCAGAGAAAACCCTGGGGCCCCGGCCCCTCGGCCCCCTCGACGTCCGCGCTCTGGCTC